CCAAAGAGTCTAGGTCCGATGACGATGATCCCCAGTCGTCATCCTCTAGCAGTGAAGAGGAAGACCCAGAGCTTGCAGAGCTTCTGCGTGAAAATTCCGAACTAAGTTCCTCTGACGAAGAAAAGGACCATACTTCTCAAAAACAAGGGGTCCAGTCGAATTACCGATTTGTCAGTGCATATGACCGCCCTGTCAACTGTATCGCTGTTCTCGTGGTCGCATGTTGGACCATGCGCTTACCTGTGATGTACAAGGATTTCATCGAGTAAGTCGTGGCTCGTATACCCTCTTCTCTTACAATAACCCATAATTTAGTGTCATTGAATCTTACGAACTTCCTTATTTGGATTTTCTTCGCCTCCTCTCGTCCGATATGACCTGTCATTTGACCAAGCACGCTGTTCGCGCGCTCTCTCCTCATGTAATTACAATCGGATTTTCTACGCAACCGAACTAATCGCAAGCACGTTTACAGTTTGCCCCAAGCACGCTTTACATCCATCGCTTCGCCTCTCGCTTGGCCAAGCTCATGTACGCGAATTATGGCGTGTTCACACCAGGGCTCAACGCGTCGCCCGTCTTGTGGCGGGTTGTGCAGCAATGTCTTGGAGGCACTCGTATGTTCCCCCGAAGTTTTGAATTATACTTGTAATGAATACTCTTCCTCAGCCACATTGTATGGGCTCGCAAAGAGACTCGGTTATATTCTGTCGCTGCCGTTAACACTTCATCACAGTCTGTCACCTACGTTACGTCGCATCGCACCGGACGATCCCGACATCCACATGTATGATAATATTCCGCCCGAGCTAGCACTAGTGGCAACGGCAATAGTTGTACTGAAACTTGTGTACGGCCTCGACGGAAAACTGAGGTGATTGTTTCGCTTTGGTGAGACACGCAGTGGAGTTGACACAGGTCAGGCTTCCACGTGATGTAAAGGATCCCGCATCTGCCCTTCCAGAAGTTCGTGGTTACCTATCGGCATTCAGGATAATGGGCGAAGCGGATGACCGGCATAACGAAAAGCGATTTAGCTCCAAGGTTTCTATGTGAGGAAGCAGGCACCAAGGTTCCGTCACGGGCTAACTAACTAGAGGACGTCAGGCCAACCGGCGATATGGATCTTGCGACTATAGACGAATTCCTCGACTTTTGCGAACGGGTGTTGATAAAATCGCAAAGGGGTGAATCAGGTTAGGTATTCTTCATTTGCCGGATTACGTCGTGGTTATTTATACGATGCCGAATAGACCAACAAATCCTGGACAATTACTTCCCACTGTCGACTGAAAGTGGAGGCGCTCGACTGGAAGCAATAGCCCCTCACAGCATCATCGGAGGACTCTCGGCCACAAAAATCAACGTAGGCGAGACGACTGTTCTACAACCCGGAGAATCATATACCATCTACCATTCTCGCGATGTCCTGGGAAACCTCCCAGAAGAACAGGCGCTCATCATAACGAGATCAGCTAAATGGGTTGGTGTTAGTGATGACTATTTGTGTGAGGTAGTTGAGCGCTTTGAGCGGCGACTCCGGCGATGGTATTACAAGGAGCGAAGACGAGAGAAGGAAAAGGAAGAGTCTGAAGGAGAGAGGCTGTTCGATGGCGTGAAGGATTGAGGGCAGACGCTGAGCCGTCACCAAAAATAGTGGGCGTCACATACGTGATCAGGTTTGCTTTAACTTGCACGCCTCGTGGCACCGACTATTCTGTCGTCAGCCAGGGTAATTAACGATGATCAATGCTCAGGCTTCTCTGCATCCAGGGTCGATTCACACGAACCCAACGGAAGTGTCAGGCACCTTTGATCTTCGTGTGAGGGAAGTATATAAACCTGCATGTGTTTACATACGGAATCCTTGAAAATCCAGTGTCCACAATAGCCTTCTCGGTTCACATTGGCAAACCAGTGATTTCTCAAGTCCAAACTATAAGTAGCTGACTAGGGTGAGAGACACCGCGAAACGTGCTAATTCGGGTTATTCCATCTTCAGTAATTCAACCATTGAATCACATCATTAACTTCCAGTCCCATTTGTAATGCTCTAAAGCGTTTAGCGTCGCCTTCTTTTGCATATCCTCGCTCTTTACATTTCCAACCACGACCAGCATGCGTCGCATGTCCTCTGTCTTCTTTGCGAGACGTGCTGACAAGCCTGATGCACCGTCGTCCAACAACATCGACCCTCCCCCACAAGAAGCTACGAAACGGAAGACTAGAATGTTTAACTCGCTTTCTCGAAAAGCAGTACCCACACAGCTCGTCACTAGCGGTTCTTCCTCTTCAACATCCTCCGGCTCTGCGGAGTTGCGTACTCCTGACGATGAAGAGTTGCCCCGCATACGCATGCCCAGCCAGAAAGGTAGCTGGAAATCATGGTTAGGGGCGAAAAACCTGGACAGAGTTGAAGGAGACACGAAATCAGCTTGGCTACCACCTTTCCCGACGACAGGGATCGTATTACGTCCTCCACCGAAACCGACATCGAATGAAACGGATGATGCGTCATCTGAATCTGAATCTGAAGCAGATCATCTTCAGGATCCTCCCATTCAGAACTTTTCACAATCTATTACCCAGGCACGAAAGAGTATGAGAGTAATTATTCTCAACAGCTCGGCTGACAGTGATCGTCCTTCTTGCCCTCCTCTTTTGGATATTCCCCACAACACACCCTTCCCCCGCTCCTGTCTTCGTGTGGGACATGTTCGTTGCCGAGACACCCTGGAATCCAAGATGCACAAAGCACGACTCTTGAGCAGGCTGGAGTCCCTCTCCCCCGCAGAGGAGCGCTGTCTGGCACCCCTTGGCAGTCGGTCCGCGGCTCTGAAAGAAGCACCGGCATACAATCCCGATGTCGACACTTGGCCGAAGGCACAGTTCCTAAGGACAAATAGCGAGGGTCTCGGCAATTGGGTGGCTCGCCCTTGTTACGAAGACCGAGTTCTTGTCTGGACTTGCCAGGAACCTTCCGGTGAAATAGTCACCTCTGGCATCTGTGGGTCACAGCTTGGTGTCGCGGCTCTCGAATTATCGGAGCCGTTACAAATACTGGCGGGTTTACTATCCGACATTGATGATGGCTTCGATCTGTCTGCAGAGCCTCAGCCTAAGCCGTTCCTACCTACCTCTGGTAAGCTTTAGTAATTTACTATTTGTGCCTTTAGTTCATCATTCTTGCAGGGCCTGCCGCAGTCGCATTGCCATCGACGGAAAAACCTACCCTTTCCGTTGCCGTCGCAGACTTTGAATTCTCGCCCCTTACGCTTGCAGTTGACTCACCGGACGAATCTAAAAAGGAAACTAGCAATCTCAACGCAGCAGAGCCTACCCCTAGACCCGTTGTCAAACGAGGTGTCAGGTTCGCGGAAGATGGCAAGGACGATCAAATTCCCTTGGGTTATGTCCTACGTATCAAGAAAAGGCGCGAGGAGAAAGCCAGGTTTCTTCGTGAAGAGCGTGAGAAGCGAGAATTGGAAGCGGGACGGCGTGTGCAGGATGTCAGGCGCGTGCGTGAGGAAGAACACCGTTTGCGGGAGGAAGAACGCCGGTTGTGGGAAGCACGGATGAGAGAGCAGGAAGAGGAGCACAAGGCTCGTGAACTCCACAAGAAGAAAATAGAGGAAGAAAGACGACACCAGAATTACGCCTCGGAGTTGCAGGCTTCGCGGACCCGCCGAGAAGCCTCTAGAGCTGGCCATATCTCCTCTTCGTCCTCCCTGGTTCGGGATATAGAACGTGATAGATCTGCATCCCGTGGCGCTCACCCGTCTGGGTTACTATCAACGCGCCAACGGACAACGGATCTCAAGGTCTCTTCTTCAAATCTCTCGCCTGGCGATGGTTCTCCTGCCAGCTCGATGCCAGCTACCCCGGGGAGCCAGCATAGCTTCTCAGGGCCTCCATCCGTCTACTCAACTCACACCACCTCATCAGAAGATGCACGAGGTCGGGATGGGCGACACATTGGCAAACGCACCTCTGTTGCATTTGACCCGTCAAAGCAATATTCGTTGCCGTTGTCGAATCCACGCGCGTCACTTCTACCATACAACCCTTGGGGCAACATGCCGGTTTCGCCTTTTGCCGTTCAACCAATTCCGCCGCTTCCCGTCTCTCCCATGATGGCCATGCCATTCTATTCCTTGGACCCTTTACTTCCCCCTTCTCCTGCTTTCATGATGAACCAGTTTGGCATGATGCATCAGTTCGGACCCCAACCGCAACCACAACCGTACCCTTCCCATGGTCAAATTCCCTCGTCTCCACGACAAAACAGCTTTTCGACCCACAGCGTAGAAGGCGTTCACCATAATTCTCGCGGGCACTTTCCTAACCACCAGCGGCGTGCCAGCGATGACACACGTGGGCACCCGAGTAGCAGTAATGCTACAGCTGATCGGAAGTACGGAAGCCAAACAGATCTGCGGGACAAAAGGTTTTCCCAAGCTGCACACTCTTCCCATAGCAGTGGCCTTCATCGTTCCCATCAGCCACCTGCATTAGTGCACGCTCACACTGCACCTGGAAGGCCAGTTTCGACGCCCCAAACCCGCTCGACGCCAAGTCGGCATCAAAGTGTATACCCATAGCACATGCAGGACATTTAATCACGGACCTGTTAATACCGCATCAGGACCCTATCTTTGGTGTCACGCTCATTTACATAACGGCATGAATACTCATCTTACATCGGAAATCATCGCAACACAGTTCTATTGTTTAGGTTCAATCGTACTCTTATGCCCACTATACGAGCGCATCGTATCGTTATTAATCTTCTTAGCATTCATTCTACGCGGTACTGCGGGCATATGTTCTCGATATGCTCTTTGACCGTGTCCAACTTCATGCTTTCACTTCATCTAATTTCATGTACAATGCACATCGTTCTCAGTAGGAAATGCTTGTCATTATAATGAGTGCGATACATAAACTTGAATGCCTTCGTAGTGGACGCAAATAATTGTATAAATATCCACAATCAACCCCTACCCCAAACCACCCCACGGCCCCCTTATTCTTCGAGCAAGCTGAATGTCGCGCTGCATGATTGTTACGCGTTTGGCGTGTATTGCACACAAATTACTGTACCACTGTTAGGATAGACTCAATAGACACAAGAGTGGGACGCACGCATCCTCGAACAAATGAACCAAGAATGCCTCAGTAGCTTCTTGTAAAGCCATGATTGCTGAGCTCTGCCACCTTAGTCCAGTCTCCCCTCTCTCATAATTCGTGTCTGTCATCATATCCATCGCGATTTCACGTACCTGGAGCTCTCATTCAGCACACCTAGGCTGAAACACGATGAAAAACATACCACGCGCGAGAAAGGAAGCCTGCGCAACAGCAAGTCTGTGCTCCGTTGATACTTCCGAATTTCGCGTAATGCGAGAGTACCAGGGCGATAACGACGTTTCTTCCGCTGTTGATCCCGCTCGTCCTCTGCGCCTGCGTTCGAGGCTGTACGGGTGAGGTTAAGACGCGTATGGACGCGACTGGACGCGTACATACCTCGTATTTTTCCACCCTTTGCAGAAGCAGGAGCGGGTTTCTCCCTACCAGTGCTCTTACGCGCTGTTGGGTGTTTGGGCCGCTTGGAGGGCCCGGGTTCTTCTGAGCTATCCTCTTGTGTGGCACCAGTTGGTCTCTTGCGCTTCTGTACGGTTTGTGCCATTCAATTCAAGAATGAGCACGAAATGGAATAGATGAGAAGGGATAGGCTTTGGTTTATAATGTGATAAATGGCTAGGAGGAGTGGATGTGTATGTGTGGTCGGCGACTCGGCGACAAATTCGAACATACCTTCCATTTATGGTAAACAATAAATGAAACAGCGCGATCTAATAAGTGCCGCACGTTCAAGCTTTACTTTATCGATCATGGTGTCCCCAGTCATCACAGGGTATTATCGTTATACTGATATTTTCTTTGAATGGTACGATAGATCTAGTGGATAACAACTTGCTGACGGAAAATCGTGGATTGCACAGGCACCAAGCCTTACCAGAGGCAGATCGGAGTCCTTTGAGGGCATCGTTAGCACAGGATGCTTTCATTCATCCAGATCACCCCCTCCACAAAGAGGGCATCGATGGAGCCGAACTCTTCTTGGGTAATCGAAATCTCTGTGCTGCGCAGCATAATGTGTCTTATCTCTATCTAGGGACGCTCCAGAATTTTGAGACACGATTGCTCTTCTCCTCAGCTCAGGTGGAATACCTGAGATACTGGCTGCATGCCATGGGCCTCACAAAAAACCTTATATCTCTTCCTTACTCTGATTGTCTTCTAACTGAATCCAGCCTGCGCCACGTCTCGCCCGTCACATTCAAGACCAAAGACGATCTCAAGGGTGCTCTCAAGGTATGTTACGCCAAACACCTCAGCGCGTCGTTTCTGACTGCAGGAATATCTAGCAAATAGAAAAGAACAACAAGCGTTTGAAGGGAGCAGATCCGATGTTGAAAACGCGTCGTGAGATTTTTGAACGCGTCCGCACTCTCTGGGTGGAGAAAGTCGGCGTTTGGTGTGCTCTGGACTTCGAAGCATGGGACAGGGACCACACCATGCTCACTGAGTTTGGATGGAGCTTTGTCCGGTGGATCGATGGCCAGCAAGTTGAAGAACAAGGACATCTCATCGTGAAGGAATATCGCCATTACACCAATACATTCGTTCAGAACAATCGCGAGGTAGGAAAGCCGAGATGTTGCTGCTTGTGACTGACCTTAGCGCGAATGATTTAGCACTTTTCATTTGGGGACAGCGAACTTGTCAATCGATCTGCTTTCAGGACCCGCATCCAGAATCTAGTGGCTGACCTGCAAAAGGATGGCCCACTTTTCTTGATCTTTCACGATAATAACCAAGACATCAAGTAAGAGGATGTTTGAGAGTTCACGCGTCTGACCGCTGATACCTTTGGCAGATACCTCAAGTCTCCTACCGTTAATGCAGACCTGCCTAACCTCAACTTCCTGCTTCCCGATGCAAAGCCCGACAGTGGCGTCTTTGTATTAGATACGTCCGACTTATTTGCTGCATTGGAAGGCGAAGGAGGTCACAACAGACGTTCGCTAGAGCGAGTATGCAGGCATCTGCAAATCCCCGCTTCATTCCTGCACAATGCAGGTAATGATGCGCATGTACGTTTAGATCTGTTTGACTCGAGACAAGTTTGACTAACAATATCTTCAGTACACTTTGCTAGCCATAAAGGAAATGGCCTCCGGCGACCCTCTGGATATGCAGAGGGAGAAGAGGTGGCCCAACCGGACAGGTAACACCGCTCACCCCGCTGCTCCTCAGACCGGAGCTGGAGTGAAGGTCAAATTCGAGCCCTGGGAGGAAGATAGCGATTTTTCAGACATGGAAGGTGTCGGGCCTGTTATCAACAAAACCAAGCCTGAGGAGCAAGTTGCAGCATGAAATTCGGGCCGGAATGTCTGCACGATGAAATGAAATCTCTTAACTGATGTACTACGATTGTACTTTCTGAAAACGCATCATGGTTCGTGCAATGTATCCGTAACAATACTCCAATTACATGATAGCAATGTGTGCTGTCCTGGAGACTCGCACAGATAGAAGGGCCCAAGAGGTCATTACGTTAGCAATAGCGGCTAGTCCTCCTTGGCATCTTCTGTGTCATCGTCATCGTCATCACCATCCTCGTCGTCAGATCGGACATCCGTAACTTCAACGTCCCTTAATGATCTGTGATATGGAAAAATGAGTGACAAAAAGGTATAGAGACCGAACGTATGACCTTATGACAATGCGCAAGATAAGATAGTACCAGAAAAGATTGAGCAGCTGGAGGAGGGAGATAGGAAAGATTAGTTGATATTTCATCCACCAAACGAGCCAAGCGCCAGTTTCGGGGGCCCATACACGATTACTCTCACTGCATGCAACCGGTAAATCAAGAATCCGGTAGGTAAAAGAACACGTACTCGATAAGATCAAACTCAAACCATATAGACCAGAGGATAACGAGGTTCAACCAATGCCGGAAGTAACTGAAGGGGTCGGTGACGGAAAATAAACGCGTGAAAAGCACTCACGTCCATGCGACGAGGAAAACTGCAAGGGAGCCCACTTTGAGTCTATGCCATCCCATGTAATTAAGCAACTTGGAGAACTGTCAACAGCGTAGGTCAGGTCGTGAAAAACGGATTCAGATCGGAAACGAACAGCCAGGAAAGCATCCGGTATATCCATACTCATGTAAATAGCATGTCCGATCAATGTCAAATTGGTCAGGTAGCCCCATCTGTTCATAATCAGACTAGAAATCAGACATTGTAATGTTTCGAAACTTACCCAATTAACCATAGGGTAACAAAGTGATGTATGATGAGTTCGTTGTAGTCCTTGCGTGGTTTCTCAAGACGTAGGAGCAGTACGATAAGCTGCTGACACCAATAAGATGCGTGCATGAGGAAGTAACGTTTAAGTTCGGGTTTCATCTGCCAGTGAGGGTAATCTGGAAAGAGAGTCAAACAAGAACATATTTGCAAGAAAGTTGCGTACCAATCCAAAAATATTCCGTACGATACCACCATGTTGGAAGTTGACCCATGATGCGCTTAGGCCAGGTTCAAAAGAGGTATAGTGCAAGATGATTAATGAACTTACGTAGCCCCATGCACCCATAACCGCAAAGTACAGTAGAGCATAACCTTGTTCACCAAACCTGTCGAGTTTTGCGGCCTTCTTTATGCCGAAGTAGCGAGCGATGGGGTGACAAATGACAATAGTGACGAATTGGCGTAGGAAGGAGTAGAAAACGATGTGGAATGCAAGAAAAGCCAAATCTAAATAGCCTTTAGCATAGCGCGGGTCATCGGGAGAGGAATCAGGAATTCGATAGGATATGAGAAGAAGAGGGGCGAATGGATTGGAGAGTTGTGGAGCAATGTAAGGGGCCAATAATTCCCAGTTGATGTACAATAAGACGGGTATCATAAGCAACTTGAAAGATGAGACTGCAAAGAGGGTTAAATATGGAAATGACATAGGAAGAAAAATGGACCGACCTGGATTTACAACCCATCTAGAGCTGAGAATGTCGGCGACAAAGCCCCCTTTCTGTTTGGCCATGCGGAAGCTACCGCTGGAGACGGGGGAGTCACAAGACTCTGGCGTAGTAGACCCCAAAGGTCTATTCGGTGATTTTGAAGACAGAGAAGATGAGAGAGAAAATGAAGACTCACGTTTGGACCATGAAGGGGCCGGTTAGATGATGCCCTTTGTCAGTCCTGGATAAATGTGAGAACATATGGTACGATTAAAAAAAAGTTGAAAGATACATACTCTATGCGATGCAAAGAAGAAGCTCGAGGTCGTCTTTTGAGAAGTTTCTCATTGCCAGGGGAGCCGTGCGTAGTCGACATGCCTGGCTCTAAATATAATATACTATGTCAGTCTGTGTGGAAATATATTGTTTGAATTGACGAAGGATCCAACTCCGAAATGAAACAAGTACTTGATTATGTCATCCACTCCTTCATCTACATACACATACTATGTTTTCATCTCTAGGTCTCTTTCAATCACTATCATGTCCACAGAGAAATAATTGCAGTCGTCCATCATGTATATTCTCGCATAACTTAGATCTCCCTTCTCACCATTCCCTTGACATTCCCGTACAGAAGGTGCAACCCCTCCCACAGACGCCATCTGCCAATGTCGTACATCGCGCAGTGCCCTCAAAGCGGCCCTTTCATAACCTAGCACAGGGACCGTCTTCCAATAGCAATGGGGCTCCAAGCGGTCCCCCGACACAACGTCTCAGAGTCGGCACCGCACAGAAGCCAGTTGCCGTCCCTGTCGCATCGCACACTAGTGTACGCATACGCATGCAGCGACAATTTTAACACTGAAATTCATTGATCGTGTTATATAGACTGGCGTACCGATTATTAGAATTAATCCTGCACAATCTCAAGTCGCCCTCCCAGTTCGTCAAACATTGCTAAAGTCACTGTATGAGCACTTTGTCGTCCTTTACGAAACTATACTGCCCTCAAACCCAACCCTTGCCTCTGAGCATGCCCTTCGGCAAGAGGAACAAGTCTACAGCAAGTCCACAAAGTTGACTTATCGCAACGTGCGCCCCATCCGTTGCCAATTCGCACATCTCAAACTATCATTTAGGCTGTCATAAATTCAATAGCAGCCTTGAAGCGACGTCCAATACCTACGTCTATATCACATCCTTCAGTAGGAACTGAAGAAGATTTAGCGGCTCGTGCGGAATCCAAGAAAAAACTGAATGACCTCCAGGTAACTCGACTCCTTCTCAAACCAATCGTTATGTCTTTGGAGGCCATGCAGACGTGGGGCTTTATTACCGAAATGCCTGAAGGGCTTGGAAGCGATCAACCGAGTGCTGAAGGAAAAATCATTCAATGCGAACGATGTACCCAGTCATACATGGTCAAAAATGATCCCACAGCGGAAGAATGTCAATATCACTGGGGAAAGCTCTTCACGCACAAAGTCAATGGTAATCAATTCTCATAGCGCAGCAAACATTCTTTGACACTCTTTGAAGGCGAGCGTATGCGTTGTTATTCTTGCTGCCAGAAGCCAGCTGAGGAAGGCGGATGTACCAGAGGCCATCACGTCTTTTACGAGTCTAAAGCAGAAGACTTGCACTCACGCCATGCATTCTCATTTACACGTCCATCAGTCGCTGATACGGAGACGGATACAGCTTTAGATGTCGTGGCTTTAGATTGCGAGATGATTTACACAACTGGAGGTATGCGTGTCGCCCGTGTTTCGGTTGTCGATGGCTCCGGGAAACAAGTTTTCGATGAGCTAGTAAGAATGGATGATGGGGTTGAAGTCATGTTAGTTGTTTCCCCCCCATTCTCGGTTCCTGCGATCGTGAACCTGACCATTTTTGTTACAGAGACTATAATACACGATTTTCAGGCATTACTCAGGAAGAGCATGCGCAAGCTACGCTCTCATTATCTTCTATACGCAAATCCCTCGACGCATTTATTAACCACCATACCATCATCATCGGTCACGCCCTTCACAACGATCTTAACACACTTCGGATAATCCACCACCAATGCGTCGATACAGCTATCATCTTTCCTCATCGTGCAGGTCCTCCATATCGACGTTCTTTGAGGGATCTGTACGTTATTCCAAATCTGATTCCATACCACCTATTCACGAAATTATATCAGAGCGAAAGAACACCTCGGTCTCACAATCCAGGCTGGTGGAGGAACAAGCGGTCATTCTTCAGTGGAGGACTCTGTAGCAACACTTGATCTTGTGAGATGGTATGTCCTGAACAAGCTAAAGCCGACTGCAAAGACGTAGATACTGTCACTGCAACTACTGTTACCTCTGGGTATCATCTAGGCATACCTCTCAAGTATGAGACATCGACATCCGTCATACGCTACCCGTGTCATGCCTCTCAGTCCAAGAATCAAATCCAAAGCGGTTCAGTTGACTTTCAGCGGACCAAGGGGCCTTGAAATCCTATAGATACAGCTAGCACCACGGGAAAGAAAATGAGTCTAACCACGTGCAGCTCCCAAACGACCTATGAGGTCCTCGGAGGACTCTTGCTCTTCGACGCTATCCGATTGTGTGACCTGTGATGTGCATTCGTTCAAGTTGTCTCGGCGTTATGGCAACGAAGAACTGACCACGCGCAGCACCGACTTCTTAGAGGATTCCTGCATCTCTCCTGCGATTATGAGCTCGTCCAGGATCTGCCAAGTGATATGAGAAAACTACATGGTCAATAAAAGTTGACAGCGCACCGCATACGCTTTCTGGAAATTGAAGATGCTGATATAAATCTGTGAACAAAAAAGGTCTCGCATACTACGATACTTTCAAAACGTACAGGTCTAGCTCGCATACCTAGACAATTCCCTTTCAATGAGTACATCATCATCCAAGAACAACGCGAATAGAAACGCACATTTCCAAAATACCGGTCCAAAACCTCGACGTAACGGTGAATAATCTCAAGCGTGATCAGTTCGTTATCCCCTGAGGCAATCCCACAAACGAAGAACAACGATGCATATCGGCGGTATACGACCTTGGTATCTGCGTCATCAACGTCAACTCCCCACTTTCTTACATACTGCAGAGAGAAACTCGCCCTTGTACTCCAGGAAATTACACATCCGCGTGCGCCGAGCCAGGACGAGCTGAGTGACGTCCTTTACAATCTTGGCTTTTGCCTTGGGCGGCATGGTGGAAAACCATTTCGCAAGGCGTACTTTGCCTGGTTATCCGATAAGTCAATAACACTTTGATGGGTTGAACGAAGGTGACGGGCCTTGTCGTGATACTAGCAGGATGTAGTTGATCATAAATGTGCTTCCTTGTGGCTGTGCTACTGTTTGAGGTCTTGTAGTGCAACACTAGTACATGTATTCCACAAGTATTCGATATTCTATACCCTAGCACAACCATATTACTGGTTCCTGGTAGTATTCTCTAAGTAGGGGAGATGATAACGACTCTTGCATTCTCGACTGCAGCCGTTATAACCCCATGATCCATTCGAATCTATCATTTAGCACGGCTCAAACCGACTTCGGGTCTGCAAAGGCAGATTTTATTAGCTTCCTGAGTGCATGGAGGGAGAATCGAGGGCGGTCATATTAGATCAAGAAACATTCATAGGAGCCACCGACCACTTCCTTGGAAGGGTTACATGGTGGTCCCTCGAACCACGTTTATAGTCATCCCGCCCAACCAGAATGAAATAGTTCTACTCACAGCCATCCACGCACAACAGTGCATGAGAACTGTATCACTGCTTGGCTGCCGGTATCTTTTTAGAGAGTACGGGAACTAACGCTAGCTTCCGCTTTCTCTGCAGCTCCAAATAGTCCATGATCCATGTCTGCACCAACCCAAAAGCGGCTGAAGTGACCCAGTAAATAATGACACCCTGAATGATGAGGTGAGCTAATATGCAAAATTCAAAATGCACCGAAGACATGCTTACCCCTGGTACCATGGTCGCAACAACGATACGACCAACAGATATCAATCTCAGCGCAGACTTAATGATCTTCTGAGGTTCGATCACAGTCTCCCCTCGAGCAGCGCGATCTTCTTTCCACTTCTGAACTTTTTCCTGACGCTCGCGTTGCGCGTCGGTCATGAACCAGCGTGAACTTTCGACATTGGCTAAAGTTATAAGACCGAGTGCAATTGGTAGGGTAGCTGTAGGGTCTGCGTGCGCCAGTGTGGAAAGCGTCAAGAACGACTCGGAGTCAAACGGAGTGGGTGCTTGTGATAACCGGTTGAGCACTATTGAGAACCCCATGAACAACGGAACCTGTGTGATTATAGGTATTGCCATTGTGAGTCCAGGACTACAGCGGTACTCCGAAAAAAGTTGTTTTTGACGCGTGGTCAACTGTGGATGGTGTTAGACTAGGGTGAGAGAAACACCCGACAACTCACGAGTTGCTTGACGCGTTTGCCATGGGCCGCTTGAATTTGTTCCTTCGTACCACGAACACCGATTTTCTGCATTTCTGCGAGAACTAGTTTTGATACACCAGGTTTTAAGGAGTTGACTATAGGCATGACATCTTCCTCCGCGCGACGCTGTCTCTGCTTTGCCTAAGAGGAGAAATTGATTTGACGACACACTGGCTCAGGAAGAAAGACACACCCATATTGAAAATGGCACGGTCCAGATGAGACGCGAAACGACCGTGCAGATGATAATAGTCGTAGAATACGGGGGAAAGGACGATGGTAGAGGCAGAGCGGTGGCTAGATCCAGAAACCCATTTGTAAGTGTCTCGATGCTAACGAACGTTCGTCTTTGGAAGCTACGAGGTTGAACGTTCACGCATGGTCGGTGAAGTACGTTGACTGCTCGTCGTGCAGAGCAGTGAGCGAGCATGAACGAGCATGAACGAAGTTGAAGCGGAACAAGCTAGTGATGCGGCAAAGTCAATAATGGTCAATACTAGAACAAATTTAAATTCGGACTTTTCACTCGCGCTCCCTCGAGCAAGTTTATGCTGCTGTGCGTTAGACCTTACATTTTTCATCCATCGTTCAACACAGCTATGCTATCTAGGTATAACATCTCCCGAGTCTCATAACTCACTGCCCTTCAAGGAGATCAGATGTGATGCACATGGCCGTCGACCAGGCCATGCTTATTGCTGCCGCTTTTATTCCTTAGGGGGGCGTAAATGTAACGCCCATCCGTCGAATTATAATATTGGCGATAGCAACCAATATTCTCGTTGTTACCTTTCTACTGACTCATCTTAGTCTCTCATATTCTTTTAGTGTTCTTCACTCCACAGTATTTAAACCATATGTTAACTACTGGTAGAATACCTGATCTTTCCCCCACCGAATACATTTAATTTGGACAGTTCTATCGTCTGAAACCCAAGTCTATTCATCCTCAACTCTCTCGTGTGAACGTTTCCCAAACGCCACATATTTTGAACTGATATTGTTGATAGGACAGATGCACTCGAAACGGGGAACTCAGGCACTTCGCCTACTAGTTCCTTGTCGCCAGGTGAGTCAACCCAACTCATGGACTGATGGGAACTCATTGACATTATCATTAGCAGTTGCGAAGTCAACACCTTTAGACTCGCAAACCACTGGTTGTGAGGTATGTAGTCAAACTACACTACCCAGAATAGGGCTAACGCTCATAGCAGCAGATCCCTCGCCATCATCGATGACGCGCTCTCTCCATCACCTGTGGGTGGGGAACTAATTTTTGACAGGGCTCCCAGAGCTCCCAACCACGAGTCTGTGGATAGCTGATCACTAGTCGGGGTTTTAGCCCCCAGACTCAAGGACCGCTCGACTCCAGCAATGACTTCGTCACCGCGAGTCCATGCACTTTCGACACCCAGGTCGAGTGCGCCCGGATCAATGCTCAATCCGCCCATAGGGATCGGAGAGTTCAACGGGAAGGTACCAGGTACGTTTTCATTCATCGACATAGTCGAAGATATTATACGAGAAGAGGGTGGGAAGATAGAAAGGGTCGTCGACGTACGAGGGTGATCAGTCCTCGTTGACGGCAGCCGTAGTGGAATAGGATTTAGATTTTAAGGCAGTTCAAAATATGTGGCATTTGGAAAACGTTCACACAAGAGAGTTGAGGATGAATAGACTTAGGTTTCAGACGATAGAACCGTCCGAACTAAATGTATTCAGTGGGGGAAAGATCAAGTACTCTACCAGTAGTTAACAGACGGCTTAAATACTATAGAGTGAGGAACACTAAAGAATATGAGAGAAGGAATGAACTAAGATGAGTCAGTAGAAAGGTAACAACGAGAATATTGGTTGCCATCGCCTCGCCAATATTCGACGATGGCTTTTGACGAGCGTTACAGACTACAGTAAAGTGCCAGCAACAACTATTGTTCCTCTGGTGCCATTCGGAATTCAGCCAAATGTTTTTTGACAGATATCTGATTGCGTTGAATACAACTTCACGCGCACGAACCAATGGTACCGCGTGCGGCGGCATCGATAGGTGAAACCATGAAGCTCAGACGTACACAATAGTTTTTGTGGTGCTCGGTTTCTTCAATTGTCACAAGTGAACTCATGTCGCTTTGTCTTCATCGACAAGTTTGATCGCTACACAAGGTCAGCTTTTGTGTGTAAGTGGTGATAGACATCGACGTTCAGCTTCTCTGGTGTACCGACCGATTGCATTGGACAGATCTTAGTATAGATGAACATTCTTGCGACCCTGACCACCAATTTCGAGTTAATCTTCCTGCTCAATGTCGAGCACACTAATACCAGTAACATCAGGTGCGATCTTAGACAAGCCAGTCAGATCACGTACCCCTCTTCAGAACTCCTCTCGGCAGGGCAATATGTCGAAAAAGAAAAAGAATTGCCAACAAAACCTCCAGGATTGAATACGTGACATCCCGAGTATGTCAACTTGTATTTCTCGTACTTGTCAGCCAGAATCACCTAGGTGGGCATTATGATTTGGGCGCATGAAAACGAGACAACTACTCACGGCGGTCGGGAGAGGGTATAGTCGGAGCGCATGGTCGAAGTCTGGCAATACAGGTTGAATATGTGTAGTCAGCGGAGTAAGATGACTTTGGTCTAATATCGACTGGACCAACTGAGCCCGAGGTCAGTAACGTCTGCATGCGAACACAAATTTTGTACATACATATCGTCTCAAATCTTCACCAGTGACATTTGGTTTTATGCCAATCGTGTTCCTCAACATTCGTGCCATGGTATCCTCCCTAAATATAACAACCTCCTGACCAAAAAACTTCAAGCGGCAAGGATTGCTGGTGAAGTGGACTTTTGGAATCTTGCTGCGGAGATGGGACGTAAAGGTAGATAGAATTGGTCTGCGGGGAAGGGCACTGCTGCCCGTGATATCTAGAGGCCCTGGAACAAAGACGAAGTGTGTTTCTCGAGTAATTTGAGGGTATGATGCTATTAAATCGGCTAGGGAATCGAAGTTTTCTGTTCAGTTAAATTGAATGAGTGTCGAGTGCGTTCATGAATCAACCTGCACGAACCCTGATAATGCTGGATGTCTCTACCGCCCCCCTGCATTATTGATTTGCTCGTGAAATTACCACACATAACGATGACCTTAGGTATGAAGCTGTTCTCGATGCAATTGTCGAACATCTTCTGAAGTCCAACGAGAGTTTGAGGGTGGTCTAGCCAAACATCTGAAAGGAAGAAGAAATAGAGGTCGGAGAGTTCTTCACGAATCCGACGGGCGAACTGTGACTGCAGCATGGTTAGCCGATGTCCGCACAAAAAAGTGAGGATAGCTCACATCTTCCAGCAGGGAAGTTGAACCTTGCCCCAAGAAGTCGATGTGACCATAGATTGACCTATTCTCCGTGAGCAACCATAGTGACAAAATCAGAAGAACATGCCTAGCAGTCTCCCGATCCTCGCAAGGAGGTTGTCCCATAGCCACGACCTCGAGGATGCCATCTTCATTGTATTCCCCTTCTACAAGGGCAAAGCAGCCCTCCGTATACAACCCTTCGCCTGGTTCGTCCTAACAAAGTCGTAAGAGCAACGTCATCTCGAGATCTCAAGATTCTTGCCATTTTGGACAGATCAAGCTCGACGCTTCCGTCCGAGTCCTCGACGCACAATTTCCCTTCTTTGTTGTGCGCAAGCATTCCTAAGAGCAAGAAGCGTTCGCCGGCTCTACCAAGCAGCTGCTTTGTGGATTTGAGCTGATCGAGTCATGGATCAGCGTTGGGCCCTCGATATCAGATTATTGAGTACCGTGACAAGATGTTCTCGGTCTCGAGATGGAAGAGTAGATGGTGAGAAGTGTTCGTTTCGTAAGATGCTCTGCTTGATTATATGCAGTCGGTTGCGTACCGCCGCTATTCGTGAGTCTGCGCTACCCGCAACAGTGAGAGGGCTAGAAGATCTTGATTGAAATGAGATCCAAAGCTAAAAGCAAGTTATGACACGAACACACTTCTCGAATGTTCCTCTTTCCTGGGACCAGTGCCATGATGGCATTTCAAATGCGTCTACGAAGTAGAGATGGCTATCAGGGTCTAGTAATTCTTCTGCTTCCCCCGGATTGCCTTGGTCCTGTAACGCGTCGTAAACTCTCCGCAAGATGTCTAATGAAACTTTCATGGCAGCATCTTTTGTAAGGGTTAGCCTTGCTAAACGCCCCCGACCCAACAAACGCGTCACCATCTTGTTTGTTATACTCCCTTGCAATGGTCTCGATTGAGAACTCCACGTCATTGTCCGCTATATCATGCTTTTCAAGGATTTCTTCCAGGAATTGTAGAGCATCTGGACCTAGCGAGTGGCTGTATTTTCGAAAGACCTTTTGTCGTGAATACAATCAGCTGCGAGTATCAATTGTTATGACAGAGGTTTGAACCTTGATTATTGTGAGTTGTCGACCATCAGCCATTCCTGCGCGTGTGTGACAAGAGGAAAAAGGATGGCGACTTCAAGTTCAAGACTGTAGAGAATCGACGCGGCGTGTCCACTGTCCAAAGACTCGGACGCGTTCAGAGGACTTGCTACTCACGCTAGGTTCCTCGAGTTGTCCGGACAGTCTCGGCAGTCTAAAATGCAAGATACACAACGTTGTGTGAGATGCGGCCGCGATAAAACTCGTCAAGCAGAACCGAAGTAAGTACTACGACGGAAGAGATTGACCTCAAACACCGCGCTTCGGCAACAATATTAATATGAATTTTTGTTTGGCCAGCCACATAGTACGCAGCTTCTGGCGTAGTCACGTGGTAGATGAAGTTACTAACTTAGGTATGTTTCGTGCTCCACTCAGGCGTATCTGCGGTGAGCCTCAATATGTTCGCAACATTAGACCTCGACATCAGACCTGGATCTGGGATCGGGGTGTTTGAGTTAGGTGTGTTTGCAAAGGCTCTCCGAATGAGTACGAGACTCATGCCGTTTGAATCTGTATCAGGTACTTCCCTTTGGGCAGTCATCGACATCTTGCGCGGACTTCAACATCTATTTCCTCAGGTTGAGGTCAAGTTTGATCCAGAGGACTCTGCCACGACACCGGTAATTCTTCACCTTCGTCCCCACCTGGACCTCTTGTTTTCAGGATACCATCAACGCCTCCATACTATCTGCGTACGGAAACTCAGGGAACCTCATCCACCGGTGATACTTCGCTACAAAGATACAGTCATATCGTCGTCTGCAGAACCTTTGGTTAGAGTACATGTCAGCCGTACCTTCGGTCCAACATATCCAGGAGATGAACTAAAGTACCCTGGCATATGGTTCAGCTTCGATGACGATGGTGTCAACGAAGGATTCAAAGGGGGCATCACGCACCTAGAGCAACGAACACAAGAAGTGAAGCGTATCTTTATCAGACAAAAAAGTGTAGATGGAGAGGAGCGCGATGCTTTGGACGAGGTATTACCATGTCCAATCATGCACGGTGACATTTCCAGCGCGGTTATCAAGGTCATCCCTGCTTCTATTTTCTGTGTAACCAAACTAATACTTCAATTAAATCAGATACATGATGGCGTGCACTTTAATTTTTTCTCTTCTCCCTTGCTTCTCCAGGTTCGCATCGGAGAGACTACAGCACAAGACCTGACAATTGATCTTGGACCTCCCTCTCGAGTTCATCACAAGGAGGACGAACGAATGACCATTCACTCACCGAACCTACAAGTATCTGAAGATGATGGTAGCACCGACTGTAAATGAATCTGAACTCCTCAAAAACATTGCCGCTCAGCGTTAATGATCTAGATTTCTATAATTACTTCCATCACGGCGTGGACTTCCTAATATCCGGCCAGACTCATGTTGTGCGAAAGATTATCATACATTCAAATATGGTACGACACGTATCGCCTCTTTGTGATCTTTTTGCAAACCCGTATAGCCTGGCTCCCCGCTCTTTCAGCGATATAAACGATGTCCTTGGCAGTTGGAGGGCAAACCCGAAGATGACGAAGACGGTAACTTGCCTCACTTTCATTTTTCTTACCTGCGTTCATCTGAGCACGATTTAGATTCACCTCCTCGCAAGCACTTTTATGAAAAGGTTTCCCGTTCTCAGTCCTACTATATTGATGCGGTGCTGATCCAAAAGTTTAGTTTGAGACGATCAGGCGTTTTCTCAGTCCTGGAGAGATGCTACCCTCCATGTTACTAGATCGCACAGATGAATATGATAATATCACACTGCCTAACTCGTCAACCCGTCAGTTTTCAGTCCTTTCAATATACCTCTCAGACTGACTATTCTACAGGTTTGTATGGTTATGACGGTGTGATTTTGGAGGTGAATGAAGCATCACAAGTCGTGACTGTGATGTTGTTTTGAATTATATATCAACCTTGTACTCAGGAATCATAAGTTATCTACTTAGATCCATACTATCTATACGCGGCGACACTGGCCTCTTATTTCATAAGAGGAGATGGAAGAGAGACCGCCATC